CTGACGCACTGCCTCTGGGGAGGAAACGGAGCCGCAAACTCAGTCCTGCTCTGCTGTACTGGGTGCAGGGCAGAGGGAGAGCCAATCACCGAGACGCACGGGCTCCCTTTAAGCCTGACATATCTTCCAACAGGAACAAATTGTCCCAACAATCAACATCCCCAATCTGCTGCGCGCATCAGGAGGTTGGAGAGGACTGGATAGAGCCCAGGCCTGACGGGACTGCGCTGAGGCGAGACGCTTTTCAGGACAAACAACCCGCTTTGGATTCCCGGACGGAGGAGCGAGCTCTGGACACCATGTCAATATTACCGTCCTTCGGGTTTACGCAGGAGCAAGTGGCGTGCGTCTGCGAGGTGCTGCAGCAAGGAGGGAACCTGGAGAGGCTCGGCCGCTTCCTGTGGTCTCTGCCCGCCTGCGACCACCTACACAAGAACGAGAGCGTCCTGAAAGCCAAGGCGGTGGTCGCCTTCCACCGGGGGAACTTCAGGGAGCTCTATAAGATCCTGGAGAGCCACCAGTTCTCGCCGCACAACCACCCCAAGCTGCAGCAGCTCTGGCTGAAGGCGCACTACGTGGAGGCGGAGAAGCTGCGCGGCCGGCCGCTCGGCGCGGTCGGAAAGTACCGGGTGCGGAGGAAATTCCCGCTGCCGCGCACCATCTGGGACGGCGAGGAGACCAGCTACTGCTTCAAGGAGAAGTCCAGGGGCGTCCTGCGGGAGTGGTACACGCACAACCCTTACCCGTCCCCGCGCGAGAAGAGGGAGCTGGCCGAGGCCACGGGACTGACCACCACGCAGGTCAGCAACTGGTTCAAAAACAGACGGCAGAGGGACAGAGCCGCTGAGGCCAAAGAGAGGTACGGTCCAGACATTTTCTCTTGACTGTCGTTAAATAAAATAAAAACACGAGAAGAAATAAATACACATTTAATTGTTAGGAAAAAAGTAAAGAAACGAGATGAYCAAATAAGGGTCTTTAACCTCGTTTGTTGTTTTCAAAAGTTTGAGTTCAAGTTCGGCTTTATTGTCAAATTACRAAATAAAAACTGCTCAAATGTAAATGATGTTGACAGATGTAAGCTTCTGGGAGAAACTGAAATGAGGCAGAATAAAAGCAGAAACAGAAAATCCAAATCAGAGTCAAGTAAGCTGAAATCTAAAAAAGAAGGCGTTTGTTTTTATCTGAGGCCTAAAGTTTTATATTCCCTCTCTATATTCTATATATATATATATATATACACTGTCTATATATATATATATATATATATACTGTATATATACTGTATATATACTGTATATATATATATATAAATGTTTTGTGACTTTTCCTTGTCTATATTTGCAGAGAGAACAGCGAAAACAACAACGCAGGCGGCAACAAACAGAACCAGCTCTCTCCTCTGGACGGAGGAAAGTCCCTCATGTCCAGCTCGGAGGACGAGTTTTCTCCCCCACAGAGTCCCGACCAGAACTCTGCGCTCTTGCTCCAGGGCAACATGAGCCACCCCGGGGCCTCCTCTTACCCCATGTCCGGCCTGGGGGCCCCACAGCCGGTGCACGGCATGCACGGACACCCGCACCAGCTGCAGGACTCCTTGTTGGGACCTCTAACCTCCAGTCTTGTGGATTTGGGCTCTTAAAGAAGCCGTTTCTTCTATTTGACGAAACCAGAAGAAGAAGAGGGGAAAAAAAGGGAAGAGAACTGATTAATGTATCAGATTGAACACATGTATAAAATAACACTATTGTAGCCTAACTTCTAATAATATAGACTGACTTATCTGTCGTTAAATTTGGGTTAGAAATGAATTCCTTGACGCGCTTAAATCACACCATCCCCTCAACAGATTTTTATTTCTCCTGAAAACACATAAAACGGACCTTTAAAAAAATACTCATTAGGACTGCCTATTTGCTTAATTTATGATTTTATTTTATTATTATTTTTTGGTTAAAGCATAAAGAAAAAAATTATAGCAACCGATGGAAACTAAAAGGTATCGTTTTCATTAGAGTCATGATAGTTTCCAATAAAACTAAACTATTGCATTTGTCTGTGTGTTATTTGTCTAAAAATAGACAATATTTTTATGGACCTTTTTCTAATTATTCCATGAATAATTTTGAAACTGGCAAAATAATTTAGGTTGAGTTTTAAAGAAATGACAAGAGTTGGGTTTTAATAAACAAAACAAATTTGCAGTGCTTCGACTTAAACGAAAGAGAAAGAGATTAAATCTGCATGTTTCACTTTTTCACCTTTAAATAATAAACAAAAACAAAACAAACACACAAAAAGAAAAGAAACTCAGATTGAAATGAGAGTCAACATCAGCAGCTGTCTGTCATGTGTACACAGGAAGCAGCTCTATTCGGAAAGCACAAATGTTTGCCTACACATGATTTTTATTTATTTTTTAATATTTCCGCCATTTTTAGCCTGAGTGCTGCGGATGGTTAGCTTTGTTTAAAGTTCTTGTGTTTTCTTTTCTCTGCCTGTCTGTTGAGGATCATGGGAAAGAGTCAGAACTCAACCTTTTACCATCTAGACTAAAAAATACATAAGAAAATATCCCACAAAATGTATAAATACACAGATTTCTAATAATTAAAAAACAAGACAATAAATGCCAATAATTACTTTAGACTGACAGCTCAAACAACAACAACAACAACAACAACAATAATAATAATAATAATAATAATAATAATAATAATAATAATAATAATAATGCAGGATTTTAGTGCTGACCCCCTCCTCCTCCTCCTCTCTGCTCATGTCAGAGTAAATTGTTTTGAGCAGAGAGCACCGAGGATTTCCTGAGAATAATCTGAACCAGTCGCTGCTGCCTCACCGCCTGATTACGAAGATTGCCAGGGCTGCAGCCTCAGTGGAAGGACCCTGAGGTGTTCTGCATCTTATAGAAGCTTCTTTTTCCCCCATTTTTGCCCTTTTTGTTCCCTCCTGTTCCTCTTGTTGTTGCTGCTGAACCCAGCCCATCATTATCCAGCTTCTCTCTCTCTCTCTAGTTTATTTCTATTTTATGGACGTGATGTCTCGCTCTCCTCTCCAGACCTTCCGTCAGCAAGGTTTATTTTTTAAWTACTATTTTTTATTTTTATTAAATCAATAACAGGAGAACCAGGGATTGCAGAAGAATTTTAGGCAGTGTCAATTTCCTGCTCATTATCCTGTTTTAAACTTATCTTACGCTTTAACACTGAACAGTTTTGAATCGACCAACAGTGAATAACATTGAATTGACTCATCAGTTTGTAGCTATTGAAGAAATACAAATTGTAGACTTGTATAAGTCTGTGTAAGGTTAAACCTGTGACAAAACATGRTAATTAAAGTGACAGCGAGGAAAATTCATTGCTTACAGAAAAAAGTTAACTGAAAAAACGTGTTTCAGTGTCTTTAAGTTTGAATCTGCATTGGATTATGAAGAAGGGCTTCATTTTAATGCAATTTGAAGCCTTTTTTGTAACTGCAGAATGATTTCTGATGGAATTTAAAGGGAAAAAGCTAAAAATGTGGCGTGAAATAGTCACGATTCAGTATCTGGGGATCTTTAAATTAAAAGCATGAGGACACGTTTTCTATATTGCTCTTTATATAGAAAACAACCTGACATGCTGACATTGTGTGTAATAGAGTTTTACCGTAGTTTAAATYCATGTGTTGACTCACTCATTGTGTGTTTAAATCAGCAGAGGTCAGAACAAAGGTCCTGTAGATCTATGATTCTGAGAACAACATTTGTCCTTCTGGCACAGTGCTTGGTCAAATATTCACAAATTAACAAATGCGTGATCACAAAGCCACCGAGGAGACTCCTCATACCTGTTAATCTAATGACAACATGGCCAGCAGAGCACAGACTCTGCAGGAATTAAACAGACTTGCACCACATGACAGCCAGAAGCTGCCGAATCACCTCCAGGATGTGCAAGACTCTAAAAGCAGCCCAGCACGGAAACTCCTCCAGAGCTTTTTAATCAAACCTAAATCCTTCGTTTCCAGRGAGAGGCCAAGCGCCATCCGTCTCTCTGCCGTTTTGTGCGACAAGTGCAAGTGGAGGGCCTGTTCTGGCCCATGTGGGAGACAAAAGATGGAGGCATAACGTCAGCCTGAAGCAGGCCAGTGCCAGTAACAACAGCTGCTGATGGCAAACAGAGCACGAGTCATCAAAAGGGTATTTCATTTGTCAGAGGCGTAAGTGGCAGTGGCTCTAAATCAACAGCAGGAAGGGCCCTGGCYTGTGCAAATAAACACGGAGAGTAGCCCGCGTGAGCCCCGGGTCAGTGTGTTCTCTGGCTCCGGAGAACATCAGACGAGGACACAATTTAAAATCTGGGAGAATTGTTGGTTTAAACTGCCTGTATGGTCTGGTAACTAATGCATGTGTGTGTGAGAGACTGTCCCAGGTATCCATAACTAAGGGCTGCATGAGGGGTGTGTGTGTCAGAGGAGGGAGGGGGCATGATGAGGGGGACAAAAGGATCTTTTCAGGTCCGCGAGGGGTGGAGGTGGGGGGGAGCAGGGAGATTTTCTTACCAATGATGCATGGATCTGACAATGATCCTGCCTGGACAAACCTGGAGGTGCTTGTGTGTGTGTGTGTGTGTGTGTGTGTGTGTGCGTGCGTGCGTGCGCACATGCAGGAAAGTTTCTTAGGAAAACAAAAGAAAACCTCCCTTTTAAACTAAACGTTTGCTTCTCTCTACAACATAAAAACCAAAGATTTGGCACCGCTCTGCCTCAAACATGGTCACTGCACTGATATGGGGGCTACAAGCCAAATACACACACACACCCCTCCACCCCTCATGCTCCCAGGAGCAGGAAGTCATTCAGGAAGCTTCTATGTGACAGAGCTGAAAGAAATATTTATCTCTTTCCTTCAGTCCTCTGAGTGATGCATGACCCGAGGTTCAGACGTGAGGAGGAGGAGGAGGAGGAGGAAAACTCTGAGGACAAACCCTGCATATTAGAGGTGTTAAATAGCCTGTTCTGTGAGGGCCAGCAGCAGCATCTTATGTTATTTGATGAAGGAGTGGGGACTGATGTAATGCACTGCAGAGGGGAAACGAACAGAAGACAAGATAAGACGTGCTGAAACTGTCAATAAAGGCGAAATATGTCCAGGAGGCACGGGCTCGCATGACAGACCCTGGCTGAGACAAAGGCCGGCTCTGGTTTCTCCCAATATTTTTGGAGCTTGAAGAGAAAGATGATAGCGGTTGGTACCATTAGTCTTGTGTATTTGGTCCAAAGAGTGACTTCAACTTGAGATGGCTTTTTTTATGAAAAGAAAAGTGAAAAAAAAACTCACGAGGCCTGGATGTCACTTTCAGACGTGATAAATGAGTAACAGGAAGTACAGAGGGTTTTTACCAAAAATGAGGGAATAGAAGCAGGATTCAGGTTTAGTTGAAGGACATATCTGAAGATACATATACAGGTGCACAACTGTTCCTGTCAGACAAAAAGACGAAACAGAGAAATATTACCTGTTCGTGACAACAGTTCCTTTAATCCTTTGTATTTATTGATAACTCCACAAAATAATACAAATATTTATCATTTTTGTAGGAACCAGAAAACAAAAGTGAACTTGAAAATGTTAAGTTTGGTCTTTTATCTACAGGTTAAATTATGTATTTTGCTGAATTTAAAGTTTCTGTATTCTCACTCTGGGATTTATTTTATTTATGTGAAACAGAAGCAACAAAAAATTAAACAAATAATTTTCTATTTGATATTAATCAGTTCATGGCAAAAAAGTCACATTATAGGGAAACAAAAGTTTAAATTAACATGGCTGAAAGAACAGATGTGAGTTAAACACATGAGCTGTTTATATTTGAGTAAATATCCTGAGGGCTGATGATGTCGTCTTCTTATTCCATGTTTTATTCAGTGTGCATCTCATCAGAATTCATCTCTAACATGAAGTTTCTTCAATCTTTTAGGCTCACATGTTTGATTCAAAACTTTTTTCCACATTTTCTAAGTTAATATTAAAATGACAAGTTTTCCACAGGTGTGCTGCTGGTTCCAATATGTCCACCCAGGTTTGATGTTTTATTTATGAAAGGAGTGGAACTGTTTATTTTGTTCAACACGTGTCTATGGTGGTTTGATTAATTTGTTTTTATTCGATCAGCCAAATCTCATTGAAAGACTGTTTTATCAAGGGAGATTGGGCCTGCAGAAAACCTAAACATGCACGTCTTTTAGACTTGAGAAAACCTACAAACARGAGGAGAACTCCACACAGAAAGACCCTAGGTCCAACCCCGGCTTGCAGGACCTTGAGGCAACAGTGCTAACAGCTAATCCACCACCATGTCCAATTTTAAAGTGTCTAGAAAACCTCCCCCTCAGATGAAAAGTAAAATCAGTGTTTGATCAAATTGTTTTTTTTTTCAAATAGATTTATAGTATTTTGTTTTTTCATCTGTTTAAAAGGGTTATAAATGTCTCTAATTACTTTAGCGCAAAGTTTGTCTCATTTTATTTATGTCATGTGATCCAAAATATTCAAACTGTTCAGTCAAAGAAACAATTACATCARTACTTTTTAGAACAATGGACTGCTTTGACTTTTGTTTTATTAAAAATTAGGTTCAATATTCTGTCACTACATTTGTAAAAGAAAAAAAGCAGAAATTTAAAACATACTTCAAAAAAGAAACAATTTAGGACTGAAGATGCACGAATGGTTTCATACTGCCCACATTCATAACTGCAGAAAATGTTTTTCAATTCAATTCAGTTCAATTCAATTCAATTCAATTCAATTCAGATTCTTCTTTTATGATCTACTTGTAACAGAAATAATTAAGAAAACATAGTGCTAATTCATACTTCCTTCAACTTCTATGTTAACATGAGCTTTAAAATGCCACAAGAAATAGTTTAAAATTAGATCATATTATTCTGAATGGACTTTCAACCAATCAATAAAAAATAATTAAAAACAAAACAACTTGAATATTATTATTAACAAAGTTTCACATTAAAGATTTCATGCTCAGTA